ACACACACAATTCGGAAATATGCTGCCTTTATTTTCATCTCTAGTCAATGACACTGGTTTTCGCCAACTTGGATTCTCTTCCCTAGCTATTGCGCGTTATAACGTAAACGTGTCGGTAGTGTATACACAGAAGTGGGTAATTTAACATGAGTCAGCAGCGAAGTTCGATCGTTAATAAAATTTCGATCGTCCTACACATTATATATCTCGAAAGAGGAACCATATTCCTTTATTTTTTTCTTTTCGCTATTTATAAAAATAATTTGAAGCCGCCTTGAGGGGGTAGATGCCTCTTAAAATTACTTGCCCTATGTTTAGGTGAGCACGTATGGAACTTCTTCCCTTCTTTAACTGCGTGTTGAAAAGTTGCAAAAAAATTATAAATATTTTTGTGTCGCTCTTGTTAAACATTGAGACATATCTTTAAGTAAATAATAATTTTAAAGCAATTCAAATTAGAAGAAAAAAAATACAAAAATATTATTTAATATATAAATATTAAAAGTAATAAATTAAAAGAAATATTTCATAATTCAAAATGTAAATAGATTTTTCATCTTCTCTTCATTCTTCTAATAATATACAAAATGCAACACATAGTACTCATAATTTTTTGCACAATTCATAAGAGCAGAGACACATCCTATATCCGATATGCAAGTCATGTTCGTAAACTTGTTTCTTATTGATTTTAAGATGTATCTACCCCTTAACACAGAATGATACCGCCACTGAGCCGCTGCTACTGCGGCTGTGGTGGATTGTGCTGAAGGGAAGGTTGTGGACCCTAAAACAAAGATTAATATTTTAATACTTCTTATACTTTAGTTATATAAAGTAATCGTTTGTATTAACAAATTGTATTAACAAAATCTTACAGGTAATGTGGGAAAGGGCGGTTGGGAGTGCGCGTGTGGATGAGAATGCGGATGTGTTATGTGCGCTGCAAGATGGCCTGGTAACTTCGGGCCATCCTCTGCTTTCTCCTCTTCTCTTCTTTTTAAACACGCTGCTTTCGGATTAAGATTCCGCTCTATACAAAGAAGAAATATATTAGACATAAAAATATCAATGGTTTATGTTCAAAATGCATGTTGGCACACGTACCTCTGACTTGTTGTTCAAGTGTCATTATAACTTCGACAGCCATGTTGAGGATACCGAGTTTCGTTTGAGGTTTGTCCGTCTTTAGATGTGTCATACACATTCTACCAAGTTCCTTTAGAGCCTCGTTGATATCCCTGATACGTATCCTATAGCGGAAAATAAATTTTATGCATTAACAACCTTTTTATGGTAACTTTTAACTTAGTAACTTTTTCAAATTCTAAAATTAAAAAAACGAAACTTGATTATATATTATATGTAATAATGTTACATATTTTAACTTATATATTCATTGAATTAAACTTTCGTAAGAAATATTTTTTCGTATATGTTTACAATGAAAGATTATATAATATTATATAATAGCCGAGCAAATTGTAAGAATTGTGATTGTATCATGACATTTTATATATTATGATTCTTTACTAATAAAAATGCAACTGTACAAGCATGTGACAGGAATACATTTTTCATGCATATATGTTTTAGAACATGCCGATTTTGTGAAACGTTATATACGGGGAAATATGTCATTTATTTTCATCATCATCATCGCGAGAAATATATTTAGCATTCATGCTATATTGTTGTCACATATACATAGAATACGGGCCGCTGTTACTACTGACCAGAATTATCACACCATGTGGATTAAAGTTTGTTTCTCTTTTTCTTTTCACGTTCGCTGCGTATATCATTGATCTTACCTTTCCCTAGCGTTATTTGCTTGCCGCCTCTCTTTCTCCCTTTGCGCCTTCATGTCGGGATCATCATCCTCGTCCTCAGCGCTCGAACAACAGTTGCGCAATAACAATACGCGATTAATCACCTGACTTACGTCACAACTTACTCTAGCCTATATTGCTAAATTACCTAATTACAGCAATCGAATTTACTAATGTGAGCGACACGCGCCTGCGCGCACAGTCGCAAATTGCAAGAAAATTGCTTTTAACTTGCTGATACCTAATCACATAATTGTTGTTCGAGCGGATTTTGTATACGTATGTCTATATATATATATGTATATACTTCTTGTTGCGATAAACAAGCAATATGATAATGAACACACGCAGGTGGTTTCATAATTTTGAAATTATGGATAGTAGGTTTTACGAATTTAAAGGCCCGTATTCTTTGCACAGAACAAACTGATGGTGAATAATCACGTCAAAGAGCAGTGATCTTTTGGATTGAAAAATGTAGATCTTCTATTTTGACGCTGCTATACCTAGAAAATTCAGAATGCAAATGACACCTGTATAATATAACTTTTTTTTAGGATAACATAATTTGGAAGGATGAAAATAATCACAAAAATAATTACAAAAGAAAATAAAATATAAAAAAATTAAAAATATAATTGACATTAAAATGTTTAATCGTTATTGAAAAATCAATAACAAACGACTTTTTATTTTGAGAATACATGACAATTCCTCATAATAAAGTTCCAAAATTTATACCACACATGTATGGCAAATACAATGAGATTTATTAGTTTACAAGTAATACGACATGTTCCTTTATTTGCGCAAAGATAGTAAAAAATATGCTTGGAGGAAAAGAGAAAAATCTATACAACTGGGCAATTTGATGCAACGTTCAGTGATGCAGAATAAGTGCGAAATGTTCTAAACGAAATAGCATGCCTAGGGACCGAATCGCAGCTGAATTAAAATGAGACTGATTTGCAGGTACGCACGAGAGAGCTGTCAACATTCCATCTTGCCTCATCTCATTTCTGTCCTTAACCAGAAACATTTTAATTTCCACGCCTGAATACGGGCCTTATACAGTGCAACGGATGTAAAGGAGTTTTCGGATTTGCGGGGACATTTATACTTGTGTTGTAACAGAGTCGTAAACATGCCACGAGTTCCCTTTGAGATCGTTCGAATTAATGTCTCAACTGGTTTATTGCTCGTCACAAATGGTACCTCGTATTTTTAGGCATGCATACGACTAGGTGACAGGAACTTTCCCCGAGGAAACGTACAGCGGAGTCTTCGTATGTTACACCGATGCATAGATACATACGTGTCACTTACATTCGTAAGCGACGTATATGTATATGTATCGGAATTGTGTGGGAACGAGAGAAGAGATCGGAGCGGGAGTAGAATTGTTTGTATCAAGATGCAACAAAGTGCGTACTGCGTGTGTTCACTAACCTTTCACGCACGTTGTTGGCCTGGCGACGTTCTTTCTCGCGCACCGCTTTGGTGCCAGGATCGTCGCAGTCTTCATCGGCACTCGAACAACGGTTGTTCAAAGACACAGCAAGTTAGTTCGAGAATATATTTTCAAAGGTCGGATATTGTATAAATTTCTAGTATTCATTAATTCGATTTTTAATATATTAAATCAATTCAAAAGTTAATATTCCTTGTTTTTTTTTTTTTTTTTTAAATTACTTCTTAGTTTCTAACGTATTCG